TTTGGCTGGCGTGAAATGTCTCTGAGCTGTGGATGATGATGATTGGTGGCGCTCAGGCCGTGTTCTTGTTGTTGCGCCGGTTGCGGTGGGTGATGGATGGGCCGTGGGTGAGCAGAGGATGGATGGGCCGTGGGTGAGCAGAGGATGGATGGGCCGTGGGTGAGCAGAGGATGGATGGGCCGTGGGTGAGCAGAGGATGGATGGGCCATGGGTGAGCAGAGGAGCAGGGAAGCGGGAAAAACGCGTACGCACGCAGGACGTGGAAGGGAGGGGCAACGGTACACGGAAGGGGAGATGTTTGAGATTGGAGCAAGAGATTCACATGTTTGTTACCACAGAGGGGTCGGCCTTGTACATAGCACACAGAAGCTCCCTCCCATCCCATAGGCCTCTGTGTTTGTCAGTTGGGGATTGAGCAGCTGGTGCAACTATGTGGTGGGGGTATGTCTCGAAATGCTCGAAGGATCAAAGCAATAAAGAGAGCAGGGGAGCACCGAAGCAGCGGCGCCATTTCCTGCGGTGACACCTCGGTACCTATTTGTGTGAACCGCCTGGTCTCCTCAAGCCACTTGAAGCAGCTGCAAGCTGGCTACCTATTCACTTAGCATCAGTCAGACTCCTTCCCCCCACCTCCACTCCTTGGCGGGCAGTTATCTCGCTGCTTGCTGCAGCAGAGGGAAGAGAGGACGCTGATTTGGGTGCGCATCATGTACCGTACCCCTGACAAGGGACAATTCTGATTGGAATGGATGATATCTATCTTGTAAATAGTACCTAGTTTGTATGTGTTTTTTTTTGGAGAATCATGACATACATTTATAAGAAATTCATTGCTTCCGTTAATGTGGGTTCATTTTCTTGTATCAACTTACCGTGTGTGGAGTTTTACTAAAGATGATAGCCAGCTAGCTACCTTTTCACTCGCTGTTTCTCACAATGTATACGGCAGTGCAGCTCCACACAATGTAGATAAGCAAATGCGGCGACACTCAGAGAAACGCGTCGGACGACTCCATAAAGCGTAAAATGTGCTTTCTGTTCTGGCCTTCCCTCACCACCACCAACACCCTTGCACATCAACTGCACGAATTTCTCACCCTCCTTTTCTCCTCCGCGCTCCCCGGGTCCCCATCAATCTGAGTGATTCCGAGTAATATAAATTTCGGGAGTAGTATCAATCGCAAGTAATTCCAGTAATTCCGGGTGGTTCGAGTAAGTCGAGTAGCTCGAGTAGTTTCACGTGATTCGAGTGCTCTGAGCCTCGTTCGCCTCTCCGCCATGGACGGCGCTGATGCCGGAGGTCATCGCGAGGGGAAGCAACCGGCGGCGGGTGGCGACGCGGAAGGCAGCCCCGCGGCGGGTAGCGGCGCTCTCGCCGCGACTGGCGCTGTTCTCTTACAAGGCGACTCGCTAACAAGCTTAGGCGTGACCGAGGTGCGTGTGACTGTAGCGCGTGTGGCTCTAGCAGTTGCGACAAACCGGGAACCGCGATTGCACCGAGTGCTGCCAGCTGACATTCAATCTCACCGTCCCGTGCCCCCGCTTCTTGCGCGCGCGTGCAACGCTCAATCGGCTCTGTCAACTAGTAGCGGCACCTGCGTGGTGTTGCGGAGTGGTTGCACCACCGCGCATGCAGCATATTGCGTTTGAGAATTCCTAGACACACCCTTGGTATTCGGCTCAATCACCAACCGGCTCGGGTGGTGTGTGGTGCCTTGGAGTGGTAGCACCACTGCGCATGCAGCACGTGGCGTTTGAGAATCTCTCAAGCAAACCCTCGTCTTCTTCGGCTCGGTCACCTCTAGCGGCCCTAGAATCTTGACGCGCGAGGTGACCAAGCTCCGTCGCTCACCTCTAAAGTCATCCTTGGTTGCTAAGTCACTGTCGGGTGGATCTCCTCTAGCGGCTCTGGTGTAGTGCCGCTTCCTTTCCATTTCCACACACCCGCCTCTCCCCACCCCACCCGCAGGGCGATCTGCTCTTCATGGCCGCAGAATGAGCATCAGAAGCAGCGGAAGCAGCAGCAGAGGGTGAGCGCGCTCACGTACTGTCCGCACGTGCTCCCCCCCTCCGCCCGCCTCTCCCCTCCGCCCGCCTCTCCCCCCCCGCAGGGCGATCTGCTAGTGATGGGCGCACAATCAGCATCAGAAGCAGCGGAAGCAGCAGCAGAGGCGGCAGCAGCGGGCATTGGTAACAACGGCATGTGGGTGAGCGCGCTCACGTACTGCCCGCACGTGCTCTCCGCTGACGCAGACGCTGCGCTGCTGCCGCCGCACTCCGTTCCGCCCTTCGACTCGCTCTGCCACAGGTGAGGGCGGGATGGGGAAGGGGGGGGGGGGGGAGTTTGAGGCGCCTCAGGAGGCGCGCTCACGCGCTGCCCGCACGTGCTCTCACCTGACGCCGCCACCTCGCTGCTGCCCCCGCACTCCGTTCCGCCCTTCGACTCGCTCTGCCACAGGTGAGAGCCGGGGGGAAGAAGGGGACATGGGGGAGGGGAGGACGAAAGGGACGAAAGGTTTGGGATGTGGGAACGGGGTGGGTATTTGGGGGAAGAGCGGGAAGGGGAGGAGTAACGGGAGCGGGAGGTGGGGTGGGAGAGGGGGGTGGGCCGGGAAGGAATTCGTTTAGTTTGTAAGGGTCCCCTCTCTCCCCTCTCTCCCCTCTCTCCCCTCTCTCCCCTCTCTCCCCTCTCTCCCCTCTCTCCCCTCTCTCCCCTCTCTCCCTCTCTCTTTGCACCCGCCCCCGCCCTTCTCTTGCCCTTGCCCATGTGACATCGCCCCTCGCTCTCCCTGCACCAGCACCAGTGGCATTATCCCTCTCTGTGGTTCCAGGCGCGTCAATGATTACAGGCGCCTGAAAACTTAACATCCACGGCATGATGCGCCTGCACGGTGCTTGCCATGCATGCACGCGCCCCTCAACCCTTCCTCTCACCTCACCTTCGTCCTCTCACCTCACCTCCCTCTCTCACCCGTGCCTCTCCTCCCATGGCCCTCCATCGCACCTCCCACCAGTTGCAAGGACGGTTCGGAGAACTGGGTGTGTCTGACGTGTGGAGTGGTGGCGTGTGGCCGGTACGTGGGCGGCCACATGCTGCAGCACGTCACTGAAACAGCCCACCCACTGGCTGCTGGCTTCAGGTGCGCTCCTCCTCTCCTCTGTGCCCCCCACGAGGCTTCTCTGCCCCTCCCCTGCCCCTCCTCTCCTCCGCTTGACCTCTTATTGGCCTATCCTGTGGCTCTTATGAGCTATGTTGGACCTCTTATTGGCCTATGCTCGGGCTTTTCCTTTCAGCGCTCAGTGCAGTTTCTGTGAGGCTCTGTGGTGTGTGGAGCTGCGTTGTGGATCAGCTAAGCCTGCGGCTTCTGGAATGGCATGGCATGGGTTGGGTTGGGATGGGATGGGATGGGATGGGATGACATGGTATCACATGACATATCACGACATGGTGCGACATGATTTTACAATTATCGTGGGGTTGTCCGAAGCATTAATTATTCACATCTACCAAGCACTTGTGCCTTCCGTTTCCTTCCTTCTGCCCATCTCTCCATACCCTCTGCTCCATGCAACACGGCATGGCACGGCATGACACGGCACGGCACGGCATGGCACGGCACGGCACGGCACGGCATGGCATGGCATGGCATCCGACTGCCCTGTGCGTCCACCACCGCAGGGACCTCTCCGTGTGGTGCTTCCACTGCGACTCATATCTCGATGCCATCCGCATCCCTGCCCTAGAACCCCTCTTCACCGCCCTGCACCTCGCCAAGTTTGGCCAACCGCCTGCAAAACCACCCTCGTGACAATGTTGATTTGACACGCGTGCTGGAACGAGCACATGCTCGCATGCAACACATGATAATTTAGGGTACATGACTCTTTACAAATCAGAACCACCTTGTAGCTAGTTTGTGCCTAGTACCGTACCCTTAGGTATAAGCAGAGCTCCTACAGTGTATTTTTTCCTCAACATTGTACAGAAAACGTATCTTACCTAATGCATTCGGCTGCATGTTTCTACCTGCTAAGATGGCATGGCATGGCACCTGCTCCTCAGACTTCTCAGGCATTGTTGCTCAGCCTGGTGCTGTGAACAAACTATGCACCTAAAATAAGGAAGCTGTGGTAGTCAGACAGACCAATCACACCACAACATAGATCAACAGCTTGTTGCTTGCACACTTTGGGGTAATGCTACAGTACTATACAGTTGGGTAATGTGCTGCATACGCACTTGCATGTAGCGATAGCGCTGCTGTTGTTATGTACCGTAAGCCTACCTACTGGTACCGTATCACCACTGCTGTTAGTGCTGCTCGCTTCTTCGGTACACTTGAATGGACGGACGGACGGACGGACGGACGGATGGATGGACGGACGGACGGATGGATGGATGGATCAGTGGACAGACATACCTAACCTACACGCCATTAAACACACCACCAACACTACCTTGGCATCAACTACTGCCCATTCCCCCCCCCACCCTGTCCGTCTCACCCTGTCCACCCATTCCGCTCCCCTGCCCTGTCCCCCGGTCTGTCTCACCACACCACCACCACCTTGGCTCTTTCCGCAACAGCATATACATCACACCCCCTCCCGCCCTGTTCCTCTCTCCCCCTCCCCGTCCCCCAATCCTCACCATGCGGTACCCAACCTCTCACCCTCAACTCACTCCGCGCATGTGGCTCCAGCAACAAGCTTCCTGAACTGGATCCTATCCTATCCTACCCGCCCTCGCATCCCTTTTGAGACGTCTCAAAGGCACCCCTCGGTCGCCTCAATACTAATACGTTTCTGCACTTCCCCTCCCCCGTCTCCCCCCCCCCCCCCCCCCCTCGCATAACTGCCTCAGCAACGGGTTTCCCCAACTCAGCTCAATCCTATCAACCTTCACATCATGAGGCACTTGATCAGAGGTGTGCTCGTCCCTCCTCCCTCCTCCCCTCCCCCGTCCCCCCCCTCCCCCCCCTCTCCTCCCCCACGCCCCTTCACTGCGCGCCAGCAACGGGCTTCTTGAATTCGATCTTATCCACCTTCACATCGCCGCCCACAAGCTCGTATATATACACCACCACGCGCGCCCCATCCACATCCATTAGAACAAAACTCGGGTGCAGCGCCGCTGCTGCCGCAGCCGCAGCAGCGCCGCCAGCAGCAGCAGCAGCGTCGGTCTCCCCAGCAGCAGCTGCAGCGGCAGCAGCGGTAGCGGCGGCAGCGGCAGCAGCAGCGGTGGAGGGGGTGTAAGCGCCGGTGGCACTGCCTGGGTTGATGAGCAGGCGACCCTGGTGGCGATAGGCCTTGAAGCGGTGCGTGTGGCCCGTGATTAGAATGTCCACTCCCATCTGCCGCTGCAGCATGGCTAGGGACTCAACGTCGCCCCATGGGATCACCTGGGAAGGAGGAGCGGGGAGGAGAAAATGGGGAGTGGAATGGAGGGGATGGCGAGGACGGGCAACAGGGAACGTCACAGAGCAGAGAAGCAGAGAGCAGCCCCTGGTGGCCGTGACAAGGCCCAATGCGGATGCCCAGTGCTAGCACACGCACACACACAGAAGCCGTAGCATAGGTCACGCCATGGGCCATGCGCCATGCACCATGCACCATGCAGCATGCACCATGCACCATGCAGCATGCGCCACGCGCCCACCTGGTGGCCGTGGCAAACACCAACGCGGACGCCCAGTCCAGCCGAGACAGACAGACAGACACACACACACACACACAGACACACACACACACACACACACACACACACACACACACACACACACACACACACACACACACACACACACACACACACACACACACACACACACACACACACACACACACACACACACACACACACACACACACACACACACACACACACACACACACACACACACACACACACACACACACACACACACACACACACACACACACACACACACACACACACACACACACACACACACACACACACACACACACACACACACACACACACACACACACAGAGAGAGTGAGTGAGAGAGAGAGAGAGAGAGAGAGAGAGAGAGAGAGAGAGAGAGAGAGAGAGAGAGAGAGAGAGAGAAGCCAAAGCAGCACAGGTCATGCGCGCACCTGGTGGCCGTGGCAGAGGCCGATGCGGAAGCCGCCCACGACAACGACCTTGGTGTCGGGGAACTGGGCATCGTCGTCGTACTCGCCCCTCGTCACATGCACGTCCGGACAGATGCCCCGCAGGTACTCCTGCACCTCCTGGGTGGGAGGCACAGAGAGAAGGGGGGGGTGGGGTTGGGGAGGGAGGAGGGGGGAGGGGGGGGGGGGGGGGGAGAGAGGTGGGGTTGACTTTGCGCGTCGTCGTCGTACTTGCCCCTCGTCGGGTCACATGCACGTCCGGACAGATGCCCCGCAGGTACTCCTGCACCTCCTGACGTGTGGGCGAGAGGGGGAGGAGGGTGAGAGGGGGGATAAGGGGGGCTAATACTGCGGCTTGTGCTGTGGCTGCGAGGGCAGATGCCCCGCAGGTACTCCTGCACCTCCTGGGTGGGAGGCGCAGAGAGAAGGGGGGAGGGGGGGTGTGGGGTTGACTTTGCGCGTCGTCGTCGTTCTCGCCCCTCGTCCCGTCACATGCACGTCCGGTCCGGACAGATGCCCCGCAGGTACTCCTGCACCTCCTGGTGTGGCGGCGAGAGATGGAGTAGGGGGAGAGGGGGGGATGTGGGTTTGATGCTGCAGCTTCTAGGGCGGCTGCGACGGTGAGGGAAGATGCCCCGCAGGTACCTGCACCTCCTGGCGTGGGGGGGCGAGGGGGAGGTGGAGGGGGGGGAGGGGGGAACGGGGCTGTACGGGCTTCATTAGGCAGCTACTGCTCCCGGCTGTGGTGGCTGGGGCGGCTGGGGCGAATAGACCACCGATGCTTCTGCACGTCCTGGTGTGGCAGCGAGGGAGTAGTTCATAGGTGGGTGAGAGCATTAAGAGCTGATGGGATTGAAACTCGGGATGCGGATTGATCATGCACTTCCTTCCAGGGAGGAACGATGGATGTAGAGGGATGGGGAGGGATAGAGATGGATGGGGAGGAGTGGGGAGGGAGTGGCAATGGGGAACTTGGCAACGGAGAGGGAGGAGAGGAAATCGCTCCTGGTGTGGAGGAGAGGGGATAACGGGGGATGAAGGGGTGAGGGGAAGGGAGGGGGAGTGTTAATTCTGGAGCTACTATGGCGGCTGGGCCAGCTGGGCCGGCTATGACGGCTGGGGCGGATGGGGCGGGTAGGGAAGATGGACCGCAGATGCTCGTGCACCTCCCGCTGTGACAGGACGACGGGTCAGGAGGCGGAGAGGAGCGATGGGGGGTTGGGGGTGGTTCGGATGGGACGAGGACGGGGTAATCGGCAGGCGGATGGATTGGGGACTTGTTCACGTGCTGTCAAGGCGGCGAGGTGTGGGGGAAGAGGCGCGGGGGAAGAGGCGCGGGGGAAGAGGCGCGGGGCCGAGGGAGAAGAAGGTATGTGGGTTCATCCCTGGTATGTGGGTGAGCGTTAAAAGCCGATGGGATGGAAACCAGGGGATGAAGATTGATACTGCATTTCCAACCAGGGAAGAACGAGCGAAGGCGGGGATGGAGAGGGATGGGAAGGGACGCGGACCTGAGATCGGCGTCGCCATTTTGTTCGCGCGCACGTTGATGCTGGTTTTTGAGAATTCTCTAAAACCAGTTCGCGCGCACCTTGATGCAGAGGTTGCCCGGACTGAGCACGTGGTGGATCTTTCCCGGAAGCAGCATGCTCTTGAACTTGGCCGGAAGATCCGCCGCTCGATGCGGCACGTGCAGGTCCCCGAGCGCGAGCACGAGCACCATGGCGGATCAAATCGAATCAAATCCAATCTAATCTGATCAAATCAAAAGGGAAGCGCCTTTTGCGAGGTGAAGGTAGCAGCGAGCTGTAGCGGCAGCGGTGACACGTGTTGCGGCGCTACGCCGTGGTCGGACTCACACCCGCGCCGCGCGCAAAGCACGGAACGAGAGCGCTAGTGACGTGTGCGGTAAAAACTACCCGCCACGCACGCGCGTATCCGCGCACGCGTCGCAAAAATCTACGCCTCGTTCGCGGTTCCACCCCCCATGCGTGCACGGTCTCTGTCAAGCCACCTAATCCCGCCGCGCCTCGGCGAGGAGCTACGCTGCTACAATAGAAACGATTCGGAAAGAGCGTGGGAGCGTAATATTAGCCGATCTGCAAAAGCGGGGGGAGTCGGCCGTCACGCCGGGGCGGGAAAGACTATTAAACAGTGAGTGTACGGAAGGGGATTATATACGAGTGTTGTTGAGTCGGTGATACTAGGAGATGGAAAATGCGATTACACTGGCTGCTGACGAAGGGACTAAAGATGCAAGATTCTCGTCATTGAACGCTTCGCTATGACACTCGAACCCCGATAATATGACATTGCTAGTTTATGTATTAGGCAATGTCTTTTCTTAGGCAAATGTACCAACAGATATTTTCATCAGAACATCTCAGCAGGGTCCTTAAACAAGGATGTGAAGGCCAATTTAGTTTGCAAGCCTTCTCTTGCCAACCTGGTCGCCAGCGTAAAAATGGTGGTGCACTCTGTTTCAAGATTCGCTGTCATTTTTTTTGCCAAACCCAAGAAGTGCGCATCATTAGTGCAACTCTAAACCTGAATAACAAAGCATATGTATTCTTACGTTCTGTATGTTGGGCTGAAAAAGCCCTTAGGATCTTTGCAGGACTAAGCTCCTGGTAGGACTGGTGTAATAGCGGAAGCGTTTAATGAAGGTTGTGAACCACCTTGCGCTGGTATGTGAGGGCAAAGTAGATATATTAAAACAAAGAGATACAAGCTTTTATAAGAGTACAAGGGAATATGAAGGGTTATAACTAATAACTGTTTTGCTGTTGCTGTTGCGGTTCGATACAGTGACGACTCGGGCAACTGCTCAATAGCGAGTCAGTTGTTTGTCCTTGCTGTCGCGCTGTACTTGTCAGGTCAAAGGTCGCTGACCTTTGACTTTCGCGTAACCTCCAGCAGTTGCTCAACCTCCGAGGGTTGACTCGCTGATGCTTCGATATGTTTCGCTTCGCTTCTGACTTGGTGTTTCGACACGACAGAGGCGCTTAAGTTACTTGTTTCCAACACTCCCCTTCGCCTCTGGAGTGTCGCTGCTGGTGACGTGGCTCTGTCCATTCAGCAGCATGCAGTACTCGAACTTCCGTTTTCCGAGTTTCTTGGTCAAGTAATCAGCTGCCATCTCGGACGTGGGGCAGTAGGATAGTGTCGGATATATATGACATAGTGTTTGTAGGCTCTAGTGGGGTAGACACTAAGGGGTACAGGTTTCTGGGGTTTCATATTTGTATCACACACTTTTCTAGTCCAATCATTCCTCGTTATTTCACATGGTATAGAGCAAGTTCCCTAGTGGGAACGTTTCCTAGGGCCCACCACTAAAACGACATTTTTTTCCTTACCTGCCGGAGCGCGCTTCGCGCCTGCCCTAGTCGCGCCCCGTGCGCCTGCCCTCCCGTCGCGTCCCCTGCCCTTAGCGGCCCGTCGCGCCCTCTTAAGGCCCCTTCGCGGCCCCCTCTCACGGCCCTTCGCGACCCCTTCGCGGCCCCTTCGCGCCCCCCTCGCGGCCCTTCGTGCCCCCTCTCACGGCCCCTCGCGGCCCCTTCACGGCCCCTCGCGGCCCCCTCTAGGCCCCTTCGCCGCCCTTCGCGCCCCCCTTCACGGCCCCTTCGCCACCCTTTGCGGCCCCTCGCAGCCCCTTCTCGGCCCCTTCGCCGCCCTTCGCGGCCCCTTCACGGCCCCTTCGCCGCCCTTCGCGGCCCCTCGCGACCCCTTCTCGGCCCCTTCGCCGCCCTCCGCGGCCCCTTCACGGCCCCTCCGCGGCCCCTTCACGGCTCGTCGCGGCCCCTTAGCGGCCCCTCCCCGGCTCTTCCCGGCCCTGCCGCCCCGTCGTCGCCGCTCCAGCAGCAGCTGCCGTCGCGCCTGCTGCCGCTGATGCTTCCTCCACGGCGGGTCGCCGCCGCCGCTGCTCCCGTGACAGCCGCCGCCGCTCCTGCCGTGACAGCCGCCGCCGCCGTACCGGCCCTACCCTGCAGCCGAGGCGCGGCCCTCCTCTGCCGCCCTGTCGCGGCCCTGTTCCTGCCGGCGCACCTCGGCCTTGCCCCACCGCTTGCGGGCCTCTACCCACCCGCCCCTGGTAAGAGCACCGCCGAGCCGCGCCCCTCCTGCTGCTGCTGCTGCTGCTGCTGCTAGCCTGCTGCTGCTGCTGCTAGCCTGCTGCTGCTGCTGTCATGGCTACCCCCAATGTTCTCACCTTTGATGCTGAGGGTCGGGCTGTCGACTTTGAGGTCTGGGTCGATGATCTGCAGCTTTTCCTGCAGTGCGATAGAAAATATGGTCTCTTACTGTTCGATCTCACGTCTGGCGCCTCTGCTAACCCTGCTGCCAATACTGACAGTACTGTTCGCTCACAGTGGGCCACACGCGATGCTGCTGCCTGTCTTGCTGTGCGTAGTTACCTGCCGTCCACTGAGCGCGCACACTTTAGTCAGTACAAGAGTGCTAAGACCTTGTACGACGCTGTAGTTGCACGCTACTCTTCCCCTGCCACTGCTGCCCTTAGTCGCCTCATGCTGCCGTACCTGTTCCCTGACCTCGCAGCCTTTCCCACAGTCGCTGATCTCATTACGCACCTTCGCACTAGTGACACCCGCTACCGCGCTGCACTTCCTGCTGAGTTCTGCGCCAAGACCCCCCCCCCATGTACATCACCCTCTACTACCTAGTCACCCGGCTCCCTGACTCCCTTCGCTCGGTCAGGGACCACTTCCTCTCTGTGGGGGTGCGGAGCCTAAGGGTGCTGGGCCTGCTCGTGTGGAGTCTGGCGGTGCTAGGTCTGGAGGTCCTTCGGGTGGTTCGTCCCGGCGGGAGCTACCCTCTCCACAGGAGCTACGCAAGTGGTTTGCTCGGCGCTGGAGCCGTGCTGCTGGAGCTGGAGGTGCCGCTGGGGCTGGAGGTTCTACTGCTGTTGAGGGTGCTGACGCCACGGGTCCCGGAGGTGCTCGTACTGGAAGTACTGGAGCTGCTGGGCCTGGGGGTGCTCCTGGTGCTGGAGCTGCTGGCGGTGCTGGAGCTGGCGGTGCTGCTGGAGTAGGTACTGCTGGAGGTGCTGGAGCTGGGGCTGTTGAGTCTTCCGGTGGTCGTGCTAGAGCTGGAGCTGCTGGAGGTGCTGGAGCTGGAGGTGCTGCTGGTGCCAGTGCTCCTGTGGGTGCTAGAGTTGCTGCTCCTGGAGCTGGTGGAGCTGCTGGAGTCGGGGCCGACCCTGGGGGTGCTGGTACTGTCCCTGCTCGTTGTGGAGGTGCTGCGCGGCCACGGCCGTACTTCGTTCCGCTCCTTGAGCAGGTTCTTGGTCTTCCGCCTTCGACTGGTCCTGCTCCTTCCTTAGAGTGTCCACTGCCTGTCCAGTCCGAGTCACAGTTACAGCCCGCCTCCCCACTGCCTGCTCCTTCTCCCTACACTGGTCCTACTGGAGGTTTTGCTGAGCGTCGTGAGCCTGCGTCTCGTCCTGCGTCGCCTGTTCGTGCTGCTCGCACTAGTCGTCGTGTTCCGCGTCAGCGTCCTCCTGCAGTCCCGGGCACGCACCAGATGGCACTGCATCCTTCCACTGCTCCACTGCGTGTCCCTTTGCCGTCTCCTCCAGAGTCCTCTCTTCCTGCTCTTGCTGACCCGGAGTCTGACTCTCTTCGTGCTGCCAGTCCTAATGTCACGCGTCTCCTGGCTACTGCTGTCACTGACCCTTCCTTTGAGTCCACTGCTGCATCTGCCTTAGTTGCTGAGCTTGTCGACTTCGCTGCTCGCTGTCGTCTGGACTACGCCGCCAGTCTTGTTGCTGAGTCTGAGTCTGTCTGTCCTCCGTCCGTCGGGGGTGAGTGTGCTCTTAGCACGGACGTCCTTGAGGACAGGCAGGAGGAGTTCCAGTGTTTTGCTGCTACTTTGACTCATCTCGTGTCCATGCTGATCGCCCCTGAGGGAGACCCGGATGCACCAGACATCCCGACTCCGCGCTCTTACGCAGAGGCGATAGAGATTCCCTACTCCTCTCAGTGGCAGTCAGCCATGGACGCAGAGATGGCTTCCTGGAAGTCCACAGGCACCTACGTGGACGAGGTTCCCCCACCTGGGACGAACATCGTCAGCGGCATGTGGATTTTCAGGGTGAAGCGGCCGCCGGGTTCTCCGCCTGTCTTCAAGGCACGTTACGTGGCTCGAGGCTTCAGTCAGCGGCAGGGAGTTGACTACTTTCAGACCTTCTCTCCCACCCCGAAGATGACCACTCTTCGGGTGCTGCTGCACATAGCCGCTCAGCGCGACTACGAGCTTCACTCTCTTGACTTCAGCACTGCTTTTCTACATGGCAGCCTGCACAAGGAGATCTGGCTGCGCCGCCCACCTGGCTTCACTGGGTCGTTTCCTCCTGGTACCCAGTGGAGCCTCCGGCGGCCAGTCTACGGTCTCCGCCAGGCGCCCCGTGAGTGGCACGACACACTGAGGACTACACTTGCGGCTCTTGGGTTTGCTCCTTCTACTGCCGACCCGTCGCCGTTTCTACGCACTGACACTTCTTTGCCGCCGTTCTACATCCTCGTGTACGTCGACGACTTGGTCTTTGCTACTGCTGACACTGCTGGACTCGCCCACGTGAAGTCCGAGCTGCAGAAGAGACACACGTGCACAGACCTAGGTGAACTGCGC